TAGTGGGAGTAAAATTCATGAGATTTTCTTGCATCTGCTACCTTGATCTCATGGTCTGAAGCCATAGCAGATGGGGCTCCCTCATTGATACCTGCAAAAGCAATTTATTCTTGTTCCCTCTCTGATTTCAAGATCTCATACCCCATGAGATATTTTTGACTGACAGACCCGATATGAGATTCTGCCAATTCCTTGGAAACATGTCACCTCTGAAAGTGGTGAGACTATTTCACTGTGGCAGGATCTGCTAGTGTTTCACCGGAATTGTTCTCTCTTCCAACCCTTGACTATATGTCCTAGCCTCCTTGAAAGTAGTGTGGGAAGTTCTATGTACCCCATCCAGATCTGGCCCCCAAATCCTCTCACTTGCTCCTGTCAAGGAAGCTGGTCTGCAGAAGGTAGTCAGTGTGACCCTCAGAGAGGAACAGAGTCACAGTAAGACATTTTATTTATACCGTAACCAAGTATACACACACACACACATACACATATGTAATTGTGTAAGTATTGCTTTGCAAATTTTTTTGATTATATATGTGTATGTGTATATACATGTATGTATGTAAATTGTGATTTTCTTAATTAAAAAATTTTTAATAAGTATACTTACTTTTATTTCATTTCTGTAAATTGTTGCTAAAATTGATTTTAGAATAGAGTAGTTCTCAAACTTCTGTGTCTCATGACTCCTGCATACTCTTAAAATTTTTTGAGGACACCAAAGAGGTTTTGTTTATGTGGCTTACATCTGTTGATATTTACCGTATAAAAAATGAAAAATGAGGATTTTTTAAACACAAGAATACACAAAGTCATACCCCATGACCTGACAGAGCAATGGTGTCATCATGTGTCCCTGAACCTCTGGAAAACTCCACTGTACAGTTGTGAGAGAAGGCGAGTGAAATAGGCATAAGACATCTTAGTATTATGATGAAAATAGTTTTGATCTCTTCAACTCTCTGAAAAGGTCTCAGGGACACCAGGGTGCCTGCATGACACTTTGAGAACTTTCGTACTAGTAGGTTGTGGCCCAGACTTCAGAAAACACTAATCTAGGAAACACCTAGACTGATCGTGGACAAACTGAAGCAAGTAAATCCAATTAGCTTAATTTCATTCTCTGTGTTTCCTCCTTGTTCTTCCAGAGTATGGAGAGTATTACGGTTAGTTCCCCAATGACAATTTCACATCAGATAATTACTCTAAGCCAATCCATGCCTGGCATAGCAACTGGTCCAGGGGCGGTCATATATCCGAAGTTGGCTCCCTCAGCCTGAAAAGAAAACACATGTCCTTATTATCAGAGCGGGGGGTTTCTGTTCCTTGTGGTTAAAGGTATATACTGATACACTGTAATTTTAGGGAAGTCTTGTTAAATATTCCATCCTGGTCTCTGCCAATTACAGAATATTTTTTAAAAAAACAGGTAATGTGTGTCCCTACCTGGCACAGAATCAGCAAGTTGGTAGTTGGGAGATCTGCTAGAGGAAGCTGAATATCAGGGGAGAGAAGCTAAGGTTTCAAGGACTGGCTACCCCTTCCCAACTCGTACTCTTTTTTTTTTAATCTTTGAGGCAAGATAAACTCTATTTTATTAACAGAAGTACTCTTTTCCTTATAGCCTCCCATATTATAAACATCTCTTTGTGTTGCTCTGCTCAGATGTTGCTTCTTCACACACTCATTGTAGCCTCCCGCCCTCTACATAGTATTTGTCTGCTCAAGTAGACTGAGCTTCTTGAGGGTAGCAATTGCTTTTTGAGTCTTCATTGACTTATATGAAATAGGGTCACAATAAATATTTGTCAGAGGAAGAAATGAATGATAATGAAACATGCTCTTGTAATGCAGGAGTCAGCAGACTAGATCCCATGGACCACATCTGGTCTGTGGCCTGTTTTTTTCTATAGCCCTGGAGCTAAGAATGGTCTTCACATTGTTAAATGCCTGAAAAAAGTCAAAAGAAGAGTGATACGTTGTAATATGTGAAAATTCTATGAAATTTAAATTTCAGGGTCTATAAAGTTTTATTCGAACATATCCATGATTAAACATTTCTGCACTGTTACATTTTTGCCCTACAACAGAGTTGTTGTAGGAGCTGGGACAGACTGTATGGCCCACAAAGATGAAAATATTTACTGATTCTTTACAGAAAAAGTCTGCCAATACCTGCTACAATGTTTTCTTGATAGTAGTGTGGCCTTTATTCTCATTTTTAAAAAATTCAATCTTCATTTATCTTAGTCACATTGCCAAAAAACAGATGCAAGGTAAAGACCTATTTGACAATTATTTGGTAATACCAATTAGTGGAGACAGTAAGGGACACTAAATTTAAATAGAGAATGAAATATCCATTTTGAGATCTGAAGTACACAAATTACTTAGATTCATTGATGAAATAAATATGTTAATGTCTACCATCACTATTACTTAATTCTGCAGACACCTGATTTGATTATATTAATATTTCAATATTTTTAAACCAAAAAAATCCTAAAACATTTCCTAGCAGTTAAACCTCATTTAATATAGGACTTAGAAAGCCTTATTCCAAATATTGCATTGATGTATTCTGTATCAGAAATGCATTGATGTATCAGAACATATTTGTATCATAAAACGATGTACTGCCAAATCAAAAAATATATGGTGCATGAAATTCTTTATACAGATTTTAAATGATAATTGTGTAAAATGATATACTCACATTTTAGCAATAGTTATCTTGATATTGAGGGAGATGAATGACCTTTTTTCTTTTGTTGCGTTTTCCAATTTTTCTATATTTTGCATTTTAGAATTACCCTCCAAAATTTAAAATACAGCATTAGTTGACCAATTTAAAGTAAAATTCCCCTAATGCTTGTGAACTGTTTCACATTTACTTTCCTCCCTGGCTCCCCAAAGAGCTATCTGATGTGGAAAGGACTAAACAGGTTTAGTGGCTTGAAATGAAAAACAAAAGAAAAGGTACAAAAGCCAAGAATAAAATTAGAGGCAGTGCCAACTTCCCATTCAGGGAAGCGCTTACTGTTCTTGGGGGAAAAAAACGCAGAGGCCCTTGAAAGGGGGAAAAGAAAAGAAAGGTCACATGTTCGAACTAATGAAATAAAACACTACTTAATTGCCCTGTGGAGCGCTCCCTCAGAGGCTGAAGTGAGGGAATTATTTTAGCAACTCCCAAAGAAACATTACATACTTAGGTTTTTTAAAAGTTGCTAAAGTAATATTAGGAAATAGCTTCAGATCGTAATTTCACTTTTCAGGGCAAAACTGGATTATCAGATGAATTTTTTTTTAATTCTAGAAATAGGCAACGTAGGTTTTTTTCTTCATCTTTCCCACCCTTCCAACCTAGATCAAGAAGGAAAATTGGAACCTTCTGAGATTTAGTGTATTCTATAACTCCTTTTTCAAATAGGTTAAGAATGAAGAATGGCACATGTGAGAAATTCTTGTAAAGCCAACCTGGCAGATACTTTTGATAAAGACAAATAGTTAATTCACTGTGAAGGAAGATGTGTAATAATTTACCAGCTGTTGGAATTGTTTAATAGTAGCACTTGTGTGACATTAATTGCTAGTCTAAATAACATACGACATGGATGCAGAAAAGGTAAGCTGGCAAACAGAACTGTGTATGCTTTGTGTTATTTATTCCCCGTGGCAAACTGCCAATGGGTCACTGACCCTATTTCCTATTCTTTCTGGGCACACAGCTATCTGGTATTTTCCACTCCCCTTTGTGTTTGTATGTGGCCTTGACACTGACTTCTGGCCAACAGAATGTGGACAAAAGTGAGGTGTATGCCTCCTTCAAGCCTGACCCCTCCAGCCCTCATACCTGCAACATTCCATTTTCCTCACTGAATGGAGAGGACTCCGAGGACAGTCCTAGAGGCAGAAGAGGCTACAAGATGGAAAGAACCATTGCTACTTGGAGGAGAGCCACCTGACCAAGGACACCCACACTGGACTGTGGCAGGACTGTCCTGTACATGACCCTGTTTTTAGGCAGGTGTGAACTATGTGCAAATGGCTAAATCTGCTTGCCGATAGCAGACAACTGAAATCCCTTGACCAGTTGCTCTGCCTTAAGAATACTGTTGACAACATGGTGTGGGGGTGGGTCATGGGGAAGACAGTGCAGCACAGAGAAGGCAAATAATGACTCTGTGGCATCTTACTACACTGACGGACAGTGACTGCAATGGGTATGGGTATGGGGAGGACTCGATAATATGGGTGAATGTAGTAACCACATTGTTTTTCATGTGAAACCTTCATAAGAGTGTATATCAATAATACCTTGATAAAAAAAAGACAAAAAAAGAATAGTGTTGACAAAAAGGGTCTTTCACATGCAAACCATACTTCTCTCAACTTAAAAAACTGTTTTGATGGGAAAATTGTTATCTTCATTATGTTTCACTCAGAATAGAGGAAGTGACATCTGCACTGCTAATTACCCACTGGTGAACAAACTTGGTGACATTCTCTCTAGGTCTTCTAAATAGCTCAAAAGTTTTGGTTCAGATTTAATCTGGTCATTTGCAGATAAAATAAGAAAGACTGTGCACATGGCCATACCAATTCTCAAGCAATTTTTTACGAAAACATTTTTCATTTACTATACTAGGTCAAGAACACAATTCCGTCTCATGAGGCAAGATGGATCTCTTGAAGATCAGGGAAACTGACCTCAGAAATTTAACTGCTCTTACGGTTTATCATCTCTGACAGTTCTTCTGTGGGGATGAAGAGAGGCCAGTTAGCATCTTCCACAAACTAACTCCAAGACAACCAACAATGAGTTTTGACCAATGAAGTTCGACTTGGTCAAATTTTTTTTTTCCTTGAATGAAAGTCATTAATATTCATTAATCCAAGCTGTTCCAAGTTCTGATCGCTTGCATCTTGCCATACCAAAAAGAAAAAAGGATAATTAATGAAAGTCAAATCAGACAATAATGGGATGCCTCAGACCAAAATGACATTAAATGTTTTTTATTGAACAAAAAAGATAAAACATGGAAGTTGAATTCACTGAGCAAAAGCAGCTCACCAGGTGAGGCTGCTTTACTTTGTGCTAAATAACCTTATGAACTGAGAGTACACAGAATACGTATAATACGTAAGTTACCTCAACAGCAAAGGAGAAGTGTCGATTAGTTTTGGAAGGAAAAATCAGGTCAAGTGACAAATTTAATTGCTCAAAATTTCTAGCCTTTATCCATCTAAATTCAGTATGATTCTACATATGTACACTCAGTCTATGCATACTGAATTCCCATCTTAATAGAAGCTGCTTTTTGGAAAACATGTCTTAAAAATTTTTTCACATTGATTTGCCATGCCACTTAATTTTTAAAATTTTGAATTTGATATATATGTATATGTGTTTATACACACCGTAGAAACTCCAAACCCTTGTTTATAAGCAGAGGGGTCATGCTGGTGTTTTAAAATTAAAACTGAAGAACTTCAGTGATTATTTCTCCTGTGTGTCTAAGAAACTTTTTATGTTCTCGATGCACCCACGCAGATGGGTAGGTTGACAGATATGTCAAAAATACTTTATGAGAAGAGGGAGGTAGCTCATGCGAGTTGGCAACCTTTTGTCTATTGTTTCCTGTTGGAGCAGGCTGCCTCCCTTTGACACCTTACAGTCAAGGATGAAAGGAAAACTTTGTACTTTGAAGCCTAGTTATCACACTTGTACGTTTACTATAATCCACCTATAAAAAACATTTTTTATAGACAATACCTTGTTGTTGTTGTTGTTTTCTGTAGGTTAAACATCAGCTTCAATGGGCTACACTTCCAGAATGGTTTTGTTACCACTTTATAAACACTCTAAGCCAAACAAACAGCACAAAGAACATCAATGTTGTCTTTTTTTCCAATATTCATATCAATTACTGGAGGCTAATCCTAACATACACTACTTAAGGGTGGGGTGGAAAAAGAAGAGAATCCAGGACACATTGCAAAGATAGGACTACAGCATCTTGGTGGCACAGATGAATCTTAGGGTGCCGAAAGAGGGGACTCTCTAGAAGGTGATGGTGTGGTTTCTTCCGGTGGAAATACCGTGAGTGTGCAAGCCCGGATGCCACCCAGGGACTCTGGGAGATCAAAAACCTTATGCCATTCATCTTTATCTGGATCATATTTCTGCACTATTTCTACCATACAACGATTATTCCAGGAATACCCACCAACCACATAGATTTTATTTTCAAAGACAGCAACCCCAACATCACTCTGCCCTCTTAACATGGCAGCAATGGGGGTCCACTGGTCAAGGATAGGTGAGTAGTATTCACAGCTTAGGACATCATCATAATCACTTGTTCCTCTGAAGTGATTGCCACCAATGACATAGAGCCTTTCTCCCACCGTGCACATGCAATGCAGACCTCTGACAGTGGTCATCGGCGCCTTCTGGATCCATTTGTCAGTATCAGGGTCAAAGCACATGAGCTCCTTTTGGAAAGTATCATGAGTAATTCCTCCTGCAGAATGAAAATAACAGACATGAGCTAAACAAATTATTATAAAAAGGCAAAAGTAAAGATTTCCTAGATAATAAATATCTAGCCACATATTATGACATCTTATAACTTACCAATAGTGCTTTTATAAATGTCTGTCTTCTACAAGTACCTTCTTTGTATTAAAAGTAAGGAAAACATTTTCATCTTCTTAAGAAACAAAAACCTAGCTCATATTATTGCAATGACTCCCTTAACAGAGAACTGTGGGATTTAAGAGTCTTTACTAAATGAAAAAATATTTTTGCCACTTTTAGAGTTGGGTCTGCAGTATATCTCAACTACAAAGCAACACTCATTCCTACTGTTTTTTAGTGGGTACCCTCTGGGCACAGAGCACGGGGCTGGGTGCTTTAATTTCTAGGTGCCCGTTTCCTCACTTGCCAGATCAGAGCATCTACTCTAGTTATCTTAGTAGTACTGTCACTATGAAGTGAAATAAGCCAAAATGCTTTGAAAGAGTTGGAAGTGTTGGGCAAACCTGTAAGCTTCCAAAAATATTCAGAATTGTTTGCTTTTGTAGAGTTTTTGGTGGATGGAGTGAGGGTGGGTAATGTCATCTTCTATCAGCATGGACATTTAAAAAGCTAACAAGTAGAATGCAGAATATATGTGGCATTTAGTATGTGCAGTCATTTACTTGATTTATTGAGTCCATGTCATCTACAAAGTGAATTAAGAATCTAAGTGATCTTAATACAAAGTGCATTAAAAATCTAAGAGATCACATATAAATCAGTCTCTCCAATGAAAGAAAGTATCAGTCTGTATGTTCTGCAGATTAGGGAGAGAACTGAACTACTTTTCAGCCATATCAAAGCTCCACTACCTGGTGGCCAGATGGCAATCACTGTTTGTTTGTTTTTTTCCTTTCTGCTTTTTAATATTTTTTCTATACTTTACAGAATTCTCAGAAAGCAAAACAGTATTCTTTGACTTTAAAATCAGGTATGGCTCCTGCCATACTCTTGATTAGGAAGGTTATTTGTGCAGTATATCGCAGTGATGCCAAAGCACGACTAGAGCAATTTGGATGTCATTTTTTTCTCAGAAGATTTGGAGCTCTCATTATAATGGCATAGCTTCTATATACACAAATTAGGTAGATGGTATAAATCATTGATTAGTGGAGCATATGATTTCTGGATGGTTCTTTCAATATATGATGTCCTATAGTTGCTCATAAATTTAACTCCAGAAACCTGCCAATCACACGTTACAGGCCTTTAACTGATCCTTCTTGATCATAGGTTTCATAAGGCAGTGTTCAGAGACTCACACCTTTGTTCTCTAATAATGTAACTGCTGGCCTGGCACTGGCAGGCCCTCAAAAGGGGGAAAAACTGTGAAAGCAAGATTGTGCCAGGGATGAATAAGATCCTGCCTAACAAAGTAAAACTTCAATAGCAGGGGTGGACATTACATTAAAATAAGATGCCTTTCCAAGTTCCTTACAAGGATGATTTGAACACAATAATTTTAGAATGAAAGTTGTTACTGGGACAACTGTACAGACTGGAGTGAACAAACAGTAGCCATTTCAGAATTTTTTATTAGAAAAATATATGTACACATGGCCAAAATAAAGGTAATCAACACAGAAACAGTCATGCAATGACATCATAGTAGAATACCATTATAATGCTAAGGGAAAGGGAAACACATAGGTTGCACTAATGAGAGAATGAACATTATTATGCATATATCAGTAGCAAGTTTCATGCACAGTAGAGCTTATATGTTATATAATGCTATACTTCCTCATAGAGTTTAGCTAAATTTAAAATAGAAATGAATTATGTACTGCCATAGAGAATATGAATGGTGGTTATTAGAGTATAGCGTTTATTAGAGTACAGAGTATGGGGACTGAAAGGCAAGCTGGAGAAGTTGAACACTCCAATTTCTTCAAAGTTAGGTATTTATAGCAGGATTGCTTTGCCACTAATTTTACGAACTTAAATAATACTAAATGAATACACACAAATATCTTCAAAATTCAACATAAATTATATTTTGATTATCCACTTCTTTGGATTATTTTTATCAACACTCTATGGAAAGATGGTGGTATAGTTAAAAGTTTATGTATTAAGTGCATTCACATTATAATTGTTTACCTGAAATGTACATTACACCTCCATACACAGTTCCAGCATGGCCATAGTGGGGTTCATTCATTTTTGCAACGTAGGTCCACTCATTTGTTCTTGGATTGTAACATTCTACTGTAGCTGTTAAAAAAAATTGAAAATTATTAATGATTTCAAATTTAAAAATTATTTTTCCTTTTAGGTGGAACAGTAATAATACTCAAATAACCAAAACATATCTATTATAGTTATGTGATATTCTGTAGGGGTCTCTTATATTAAATATTGAGATTATATTAATCATATGAACCATTAATACATGTTACATTAGCCTAGATAATGTAATAACCTAACACATTTCTGTCACTGCAGAAATCTCTAGGATTTCTTTTCTTTTAGCATCTAGGTATAGCTTTATAATTTGACACTTCTCTCATTTCTTTGCTCTAAAAATGTGGAATAGAAGATGAGAAAAAAAATCACAAGGAAGAAAAACACTTAGTTCTAGGCCCCCATGTTCATCCACCATATCTGAAACAAAAGTTAATAGATATGAAGCAAAATTTTAAGTTGGGAATGAAAGTATACACACTGCATATATACATTCTGATGCCTACCTACTGCTTTACTTTATATCCAGACTACAAAATGGATACTAATGATAATTTTTCGACATTTATACATTAAAGCCAATGGTTTCTATAAACCCAATACTGTTGCAGCCAGTACTGCTCTTACTTGCAGATGACTGGCGGCATAATATGAAGTAAAGTTTTTATTAGAGGTACTTTCTCTCAGTAATAAATTTATCATCGTTAACACAAAGTATTTTGGAGAAGTGACCTCAACTTATTTAAATATCAATCTGTTATAACCTCAAAAACAGAACAATGACAGCCCAGACAGATAGAAAATGTATTTTTCAAGAAGTGACTCTAATGACTGCAGTGGGGTTGGGGGGACTTGATGGTATGGGTGAATGTTGTAACCACAATGTTGCTCATGTGCAACCTTCATAAGATTGTATGCCAATGATACCTTTATTTAAAAAAAAGAGAAAAAAAGAAAATGTGGTCTTTTTGTTTGTTCTTTACCTGGCATTTAAAATTTTTTTTATTGAAGTGTAGTTGATATACAATATTATATTACTTTCAGGTGTACAACGAGGTGATTTGACATTTATATACATTACAAAATACTCAACATGATAAGTGTAGTTACCATCTGCCACCATACAAAGTTGTTATAATATTATTGACTATATTCTCTATGCTGCACTTTTCATCTCCATGACTTATTTATTTTATAATTGGAAGTTTCTACCTCTTTATCAGCTTCATCTATTTTGCCCATCACCCCCAGCAACAACTAGTTTGTTCTCTGTATTTATATTTATTTCTGTTTGTTTTGTTTTCTCTTTTCCACATATAAGTGAAATCATAAACTATTTGCCTTTCTGTATCTGACTTATTTCACTTAGCATAATACCCTGTAAGTCCATCCATGTTGCTGTGAATGGCAAGATTTCATTCTTTTTTATGGCTGAGTAATACTCCCGTGTGTGTGTGTGTGTGTGTGTGTGTGTGTGTGTGTGTATGTGTGTACACATACATATATATCACATCTTCTTTATCCATTCATCTGTTGATGGACATTAGGTTGCTTACATATCTTGGCTACTGTAAATAATGCTGCAATAAATATAGAGGTAAATGTATCTTTCTAGATTAGTGATTTTGTTTTATTTAGGTAAATTCCCAATGAAATTACTGGGTCTTATGGTATTTTTAGTTTTAATTTTTTTAAGGAACCTCCATACTGTCTTAGATAGTGGCTGCACCAATTTATATTCCCACCAACAGTACATTAGTGTTCCCTTTAGTGTGATCCTTTTTTAAAAGGCAGAAAGAAATAGGATCATTACAAGGACTCTGGTCAAAAGCACAAAATCAAGACTTGACTTGAAAAATTTATACTATTTATTGTAGACACTGTCAGTTGTTAACCCAATTTCTTGCCTCCCTAACCTTGCTTTTTTCTTACTAACATAACCCTAACACTGCTCAAGGAAGCGCTGTGACAAAATCAAAATAAAATTGAAATTAGCAGGTTCCCCTGAAGCTCGAGTTGACCATAGGATATTGTTCTAGGTAACGAAATGGAAGCCAGAGTCTACTGACTGGGGTTATGTGATCAAGCCACAGGAATAAGGTTTAGCTGCTTGCAGCCAAATGCAGTCCTAACTGATGAATCATCCTTCAAACAAGATTTCCTATTTAACAAAAAATAATGTGAGAGCAGGCAAATCCAGAGAGAGAGATTGAGTGAAAGAGACTTTCTACTCCAAGAATTTCATTTCTTCATCAAATTCACCATGTGAAGTACTTATTTCTCCTCGAACAACACCAATATTATGTCACCTCTCATATCCCTTTACTGGGCTCCTTTAGCTTTTAATTTTCAGTCTTATTTCAAAGGCTTTTACAATTCTCATTTTGATCTAATCTCTTATTAGTTTTGTTCATTGCTTCAGGCTTGGGCTCTTCCTGATTTTATTTCTTCTACTACCTTACATTAAGTAGCAAGATCCTGCAAAATCTCTCCCCCAAATAAAGGCTATTTCCACAATTAATAACAAGCTAAAACTCTTTACTCCTGTACTGTTTTTGACTATTTCCACTCACTGGATGTTTTCTTTAATGTTCATTTCCATCTGCCCTTAGCATGAGTTTCACCTAATTGACAAGGAGAATCCTACTCAATGAACATTATTATCTCTCTCTCTCCACTTACACAGGATCTAGTATATTGATTGGTAGTTGGCATCAGCAAAGTAATAATGGTAGGGTTTTAGCTGATAAAAGAAAGTAGCCTTATCACACCTCTTGCCAGTGAAAGGATTTTAAAAGACTTCCAGAGATCATCTTTTCCATCTATCTGATGTCAAAGATAGGTTTTACTATAGTCCTATGCTTTTTTTAATTAAGAACTCTGCCTTGAACTTTGGAATTTCTAGAATCTAACAGTCTCTCCTTATGTCTAATTCAATGTGTTCTGTTACAGTTTTCATTAGTTTCCTCTTATTCTTTTTATAGTGGAGCTAGTAAGTTGGGTAGCTATTCACTCTATGATTATTAAGATTTTCTTATGTACAAAGATAATGCTGTTCTTCTGTTAGTGAGTTAACTGTAATGTTCTTCCCTAATAGAGGCTAAAAGAATCTATCTATACTTTCTCATGTAGGAGCTCCTAAGTGTAAGATGCTTATTAACCACCAGTAATATAATAACTATGTAATAGTTCATCAGCCCTAAACTTGTCTTCTTTGAGCTAAATAATCCATCTCCTTTAGCTTTCCTAATCATTTAATCTTTACTGTCAATGTTTAGACTTTCTCCATGCAGAACTGCAGTTGTTACTAGCAAAACCAATAGTATTTAGTTTTAAAATAGAATACACCTAACTGAAAGTGTATATACATGCCCTTATTTCTATTTTCCATATTAGCAAGGCAGCAGGATATAGGTTAGGGCCAACAACCCTGAGACAGGGAGGGAAGCAAGGGATGATGCCAGGCAAGGAGTTGTAGCCACAAAGCAGTTCATCACAGCCTGTGAGAGGTAAGAATGGTAATGAGGTAACTGGAAAAACCTAGAGCAGGGGTCAAACTACAGCCCTGAAGCCAAAGCCAGTATGCCCCCTGCTTTTGTATGCCCCACAATTAAAAATATAAATGGTTTTTACATTTTTAAGGAATTGGAAAAAATCAAAGGAAGATTTGGTGACATACAAAAATTACATGGAACTCAAAATTCAGTGTTCATACTTAAAGCTTTATTGGAGCACAGCCTCATATATTTGTTTCTACGTTGTCTGAAGTTGCTTTTGCAATACAACCGTGAAGTTGATTTGTTGGGACAGAGATTCTATGACCTGCAAAGCCAAAGATATTTACTTCTGACCCTTTCCAGAAGTTTGCTGATCCCTATTCTAGAGAATCATCTTTGGTAGTCTGGTGCTTGGTACTTAAATTAGAGACCTTCTCCAATTGAAGAATTATACTTAGGTTGGTTATTTCAGAAATCTCATCAGGAAGGCCTATTTTCTCAGCTGATTCCATTAGTGTGCAGAATTGGTCCCAAAGGATGATATAGAATCTACTTGTTCTTTGATATTAGGAAAGAGATCAGGCCTGAAGATAACCATTTGAACAATGGCTTGCTGTACAGAAGCTTTTTAGCTTGATATAGTCCCACTTGTTCATTTTTGCCTTTGTTTCCCTTGCTCAGGGAGATAATGTTCATGAAGAGGTCACTCATGTTTATGTCCATGATATTTTGCCTCTCTTACAGAGAGGGACATGGTCTGTAGAACCCAAAAGTGACAGATGGTGACATGTTCCTTAATGAAGAATACTACAAACCCATTAAGGGATATGGAGGTATATTATAAATATAAGAAACTTTATTATATATTTATTTGAAAAATCTAATGCAATTTATGTAAGTTATTTCATTATTTGAAAGTTTGAATTATTAATATTTAACTGAAGTGAAAGTATATGAGCTGTCATATTTCTCTTCAATATAGAAAACCTCAATGGAAGATCAATTTCTTATATGACATAATTTTGAAAGATGCTAGAAATAACTGACTCCTTTTTCACTTAAGTGACAGCTACTCTAAGCTTTCCATAGTTTCCCATTGTACCTGGTGTCAAAGGAAAGCAGCATTTCTAAGAAGTTACATTTCAGCAATACCCCACCCAGGCTCACACACACACACTGGTAGTATCTTTTTGACAGGCTTTGGGCTTAGGTCCATAGACTCCATGAAAAGATTTTAAAAGGCCAAATGCATTAAACTGATCTAAAATGCTTTGCAAATACTGCCACTGCTTTCTTTTCATAATTATATGTAGGCAGTGGTTATAGTATGTATGAAGAATAAATGATGTGCTGGTACTAATGAACCTGTTAAATTGTTAAATGACTCTCCCATCAATCCCCCCTTCCTGCCACCCATTCCTATTCTCTTCCCTGTTTATACAGGCATATTAATATGTCAACATAATCAGTTAAGATGGGAATGTTCACTTAATACAACAGATGTCCGTGTGTGCATGTGGGGCGAGTCCATTAGAGAAGGACTAATGTTTAAAGACCCAGCCTTTGGCTGGAACACTCAGAAGTAGAAGCAAGAGTTTCCTTAGAACCAAAATCTGTTATTCTGTGAAAAAAAGGGGGGTGGGGCAAGAAAACTGGAAAAGCCAACAGATACATATACTTTTCTTACTTATACAGAGAAACATTATTAATGGATCAAATTCAGAAGAAGTCATTGTTATTTTTTTTACAAGGTAATCAGGGCCAGTTACGTAGGGTTTGTTTCCATCAACAATATAGAGAGTCTACTTGCTCCTAAAATAGGAGGAACTCAAAGGGGTGGGCTGGGTCAGGAAAAGAAAAAAAAGCCTCTTGCTTCTTGGTTTCATGCAATGACTCTTTTTGGCCTGAAGCTTCTCCTGGAATCAAAACTCTCAATTTGATTACACTTAAGTCAGTCACATGATTTTAAAAAAACCTTCAAATATATTTTAACTTAAAATATTTAGTATAGGGGATCTCACTCCCCAACTTCAAGCTCTACTACAAAGCCACAGTAATCAAGACAATTTGGTATTGGCACAAGAACAGAGCCACAGACCAGTGGAACAGAATAGAGACTCCAGACATTAACCCAAACATATATGGCCAATTAATATACGATAAAGGAGCCATGGACATACAATGGGGAAATGACAGTCTCTTCAACAGATGGTGCTGGCAAAACTGGACAGCTACATGTAAGAGAATGAAACTGGATCACTATCTAACCCCATATACAAAAGTAAACTCCAAATGGATCAAAGACCTGAATGTAAGTCATGAAACCATAAAACTCTTAGAAAAAAACATAGGCAAAAATATCATGGACATAAACATGAGTGACCTCTTCATGAACATTATCTCCCTGAGCAAGGGAAACAAAGGCAAAAATGAACAAGTGGGACTATATCAAGCTAAAAAGCTTCTGTACAGCAAAGGACACCATCAATAGAACAAAAAGGTATCCTACAGTATGGGAGAACATATTCATAAATGACAGATCCAATAAAGGATTGACATCCAAAATATATAAAGAGCTCACACGCCTCAACAAACAAAAAGCAAATAATCCAATTAAAAAATGGGCAGAGGAGCTGAATAGACAGTTCTCTAAAGAAGAAATCCAGATGGCCAACAGGCACATGAAAAGATGCTCCACATCACTAATCATCAGAGAAATGCAAATTAAAACCACAATGAGATATCACCTCACACCAGTAAGGATGGCCATCATCAAAAAGACAAACAACAACAAATGTTGGTGAGGTTGTGGTGGGAATGTAAACTAGTTCAACCATTGTGGAAAGCAGCATGGAGGTTCCTCAGAATGCTCAAAATAGAAATACCATTTGACCCAGGAATTCCACTTCTAGGAATTTACCCTAAGAATGCAGCACTCCAGTTTGAAAAAGACAGATGCACCCCTATGTTTATCACTGCACTGTTACAAAAGCCAAGATATGGAAGCAACCTAAATGTCCATCAGTAGATGAATGGATAAAGAAGATGTGGTACATATACACAATGGAATATTACGCAGCCATAAGAAAAAAATAGATCCTACCATTCGCAACAACATGGATGGAGCTAGAGGGTATTATGCTCAGTGAAATAAGCCAGGCAGAGAAGGACAAGTACCAAATGATTTCACTCATATGTAGAGTATAAGAACAAAGGAAAACTGAAGGAACAAAACAGCAGCAGAGTCACAGAACCCAAGAATAGACTAATAGTTACCAAAGGAAAGGGACTGGGGACAATGGGTGGGAAGGGAGGGATAAGGGCGGGGAAAAAGAAAGAGGGCATTACGATTAGCATGTATAGTGCGTGGGGGGCACGGGAGGGCTGTGCAACACTGAGAAGACAAATAGTGATTTTACAGAATCTTACTACACAGATGGACAGTGACTGTGAAGGGGTATGTGGGGGGTCTTGGTGAAGGGGGGAACCTAGTAAACATAATGTTCTTTCTGTAATTGTAGATTTTGTCAAAATTAAAAATATATATATTTTGAAGCAAATATGACAAATATTAGCAGTCTTAATTCTGGCAGATGAGTACATGGGCATTCATAGTGTTGTTTTCTTTAATTATCCACATTAAAATATAATTTAAAAAATATTTAGTAGAGACTGGACTTGTTGGGTATGCTAATTGTTGAGAAAGCAATCATTTTTTATAAAATTTTACTCACTCATAGATTATAATAGATAATTTCAAAGGGAAAGAAGCATCATTGGCCTTTAAATGGAATTACAGTTGCTTCTTGGTATTGAGGGTTTGTGTCCATATTATATTCATTCATCTATTTGTGAAAAATGCAGTTTATGAATTAAGATTAAAATGGGCCTATATTTACCATCCAGAGGGGTAATATTTTTTTAGAATATTTAAGTCATTACCCTTAGGTTTAAGTTCTGGGAGACTGTGATTTTTAAAGCCTCAATATAATTAATCAGTTATTAAGAATTTAGGAATACTTCATGAAAAGCATGCTTGTCCTGTTTCTTTTTCCCTTCAAACTGGAACAGAGAAGGCTGTTTTAAATAGGAGAAGGAAGGGTTTATTTCTGAAGGTTATGAGTAAGGAAGCCAGCCACTTGCCCAGTGGGGTAGGTCTACTTCTTGTTCCCAATTAAGTACAACATGAAGAGCTCAAATGGAGTGGGGTTTGTTGGGAAAAAGAACCCTCTAGCTTCTTGGTTTTATGTATGACTCTCCTTGGTCTGAAGATCATAAATGTTTAGAAGAATAAAGCCTCTAGTCAATATTAGGGATAAAGTATTGAAAACTTAATACATAGCTGCATATTAACAGGGGTGATATCATCAATAAGCAAGCACTGAGTGAAAAATGGAGCTATTTCCTTTAAGGAAAGAAGTTTCAGAATGGCCACTGACTGTCAGGATTGATGGCCTGTAATTTATAAACTCGTAAAGATGATTTTATCAGAACAGTGTTTCTAAGAAAGTGCCAAGTCACTACTTGCATCTTCTGGGTATTTCCAGATAACATAAATTTCACATGGTACAATAACATGAAAATAGTGTGGCTGAGTTGACTAAGGAGACCTGAAATGACAATTCTACGCAAAGGGTACTAATGCCTCTAGTGCTTTTAGAAATCTGACTATTAAACTATACTGGGAAACCCATGTGGTTCATGATCATGACACCTAGTCTAACAATCTTGAAAGCCTGGTCTGAAAAAAATAACATTGTGACAATGAAGAGAAAAAAACCTGTGCGTAGGAAAGATCAGTAATATTCAGACCATGTCACTAACAAGAAAGGGCTTGAGAAGCTTGAAAGTATAAGAACCAAGAGATCTTTTTGTTTATAATAAATAGCTTATTCCCAAATCCATTCAACTACCATTTATTGTTTAGAATACTAAAGAAAAAGATTCTGATAATATTTCTGAATTTTTCCAGAGCCAATGCTAATATTTCAAACTTCCCAAGCATTATGGAACCTGAAATACTGGTCACTGCAAGAACCCTGTTTCTAACAGAGAATAAAGAAGAGGGGTGGAAAAAAGGCCAAACAAGAATGGTAATGAGAGATCTGTAAGACATGGTATAAATAACAAAATTAGAGTTAATTTATGTAGCCAAAGTATTGCTTAATGTTAGCTGTACTATGGCCAATCTTAGATTAGGAAGACAAAAAAGTGACCATCAAATAAAGTTAATCAGGTCAGTTTACAGTGAGGAAAACTAGTATTTCACTAAGAGAGAATGATTTTTAAAACTAATAGCCACAGATTATCATACCATAAATATACTTTGGATGATACTAAACTTTGTACATTTAACCAATAAAGAAAATTATCTTACTACGTGGATGCTGATAGGTAACACATCATGTAAAAAAGAATGAAAGTCAGTCCTCAGTAAGGAACGATTTTTAACCTGTTCAGTAAAATATTATGCAGGCTTTTAGAAATGGAAAATAAGGACATATGCCAAACTTCTGTCCAGATCCTGTTAGAATTTAAGTTAGCAGAATATACTTTGTAGTTGAACCTTCAAGTTGAAAACCAATATACTGCACAAATAAAATATTCTGCCACATACTGATGTATTTATAAGATATAATTTATACTATGCCAAAAATATATGCCCAGATTAGGCATACAGATTGTCTGATATTTTCTAAGAAAAACAGTTTAAAACGAAATCTTAGCTACATTTTTATGCCTTCAATTTTACAGAACTGATTATTTAATGATTCAACAAGAATTTGGGGGTAAAGAAACCAGTCTCTATGCTTAATATAAATGCACACACTTACGCAGTTCACCAGCTGCATTTCGCCCACCGACTGCATACAGATATCCTTTGAGGGCACTTAGGTGGAAGAAGGTGCGCTTTTCATTTAAAGATGCAACTTGCATCCATTTATTGTATCGAGGATCAAATCTAAACACTGTATCAACTGCCGTTTTTCCTTTTGTGTCATAATTACTCTGTCCACCAACGACGTAGAGGAAATTTCCAATGACGGCAATGCCATGCTGGTACCTTGGGGCATCCATGGGGGCTAACGATTTCCATTCATGGGCCTTTTCATCATACATGCGCAATTCCTTGCTGACAACCAGCTGCTGCCTCAGCACTCCTCCTAGGGTAACCAAATGAGTGGTGTCAGACCGAATGGCAGTCCTGTCTGACTGCATAACTGGCTGCATATATGGCATCATTTGGTAATTGCTGGCTTCCAAAAGGAGATTCACACAAGTATTGTCAGTTCTCATGAAATCCACGGTTTGCACATAATTAATGAGCTCCTGTGGTGTCATCAGTGGAAATCGTATGTTCTTCATTAATTTTGCAGCAAAGTCCATCCGAGGTTCTTCCAGGCGTAGCCAGCGACAGGTAGCCTTAAAAAGCTCAAGTTCAGTGCAATGCTTAAGGCTATTACTAGAAAGCACAAAGGCAAGACGCTCAAAAGGGAGTTTCAAGAACTCCCCCGTGCTCAGCAATGCAGGAAAATTCTTCAAGACGAAACTGTTAACATATTTATCCACTTCTGTCAGATTGTAGGTGTTGGCGATCCGCCCAACTTCGACACAATTGTCTAAAGTGACCTATTCAGCCAATAAGAAAAATTAAAACACAACTACTTTCATGACACTTATATCTGGATAACATAAATACCTGTTCAAAAATTTACTAGAATGTTCTAGAATAAATTATGTTTATTGTCCATATAGATGCAAATGAAGATTCTTACATAAGTAAATTAATGATCTAAAGAGAATTCACAAACCACCTTTACCTAATTCAGTAGAAAAGCAGCTAAAAGAAAATCAGTTAGTAGGTTAGAAGTTACTCCAAGAAACAATTCAAAAATGTGTGCTCCCTCCCAAAAAGTGGAAATTTTGGAAAAATAGAGGGTTATTCATTATGGTTTGTCTCAGTCCACTTTTCTTCCTTCGTTCCTTCCTTCGTTAGTTAGTTCATTCCTTCCTTCCTTCCTTCCTTCCTTCCTTCCTTCTTTCCTTCTTTCCTTCCTTCCTTCCTTCCCTCTCTCTCTCTCTCTCTCTCTCTCTCTCTCTCTCTCTCTCTCTCTCTCTCTCTCTTTCTTTTTTATTAAGGTATCATTTATATACAATCTTACCAAGGTTTCACATGAGCAACACTGTGGTGACTACAGTCACCCATATTCTCAAGTGCCCCCCCACACCCCATTGCAGTCACTTTCCATCAGTGTACTAAGATGCTACAGAGTCATTACTTGTCTTCTCAGTGCTGTACTGCCTTCCCTCTGTCAGTCCACTTTTCTTAAAAGTCCAGTTCTCTTAGTCATGATTCTTAGAAGTAACGCAGTTAGCAAACCCACAAACAGAAAATCTCTAATATGGGATCCCTAGCGTTCTCTTTTATGTAAACAGTCATCATTTGTTACAATGATTCATTTTGAGTCCTTCAAAAGTTATTGCTTATACATAGTGAGGATAATTTAATAGGGCAATATTTCCTAGGGTGAAGTTATTTTCCACATTATTTATCTGGAAATATAAGGAAATGAATCACTTTTGTGAAGGCTGGAATGGGTGTGTCTATATCAAATTACTCATGTAATTCTGGTTATCATGACGGCTTGCAATGTAGAGTTCCTCAGCCACTCTCTTACTCCCAGCCTACTCAAGCTCCGCTGGAGTCAAGAGGAGCCCAGAAAAATTTCCCCAGCAAAAGGAAAGAAGTTATGGAGAGGCCTCTTTAGCAAGAGCTCTTTTGACTACTTTAAGAACTGATTGGTCAAGTAAACTGGTCAAGTGAAAATAGGCAAATCATATCAGCAAATACTATGCAAGGAATAAATCCCAAAGACAAGCCTACCCTACAAATGTCCATATATGTGTGTACAAAAAGAGACAGGTGATAGGCAAATGACTCAAATGACTTTTCTTAAATTTGTTGTGTGTGTGTGTTCACAAATGTCACACAAATCTCACTGATACAACTGCATTGCTAACAGATTGGAAGACGATTAAGAAAAAATTGGCTAATCATTCTATTATCTTTTTTACTTAAAAGCTGAAATGAAAAAAAAAGACCTGAAATGAAACTAAAATAATTAGCCCTCTGTGGAAATAAAAGCCCAGTTGAGATATAATACCACTGAAAGCTCTCATACACACACACAAGGCTATTTTCATAGATTTATTACTCAAGAAGAATTTCAACTCTTTTAAGCAGCTAGCTGACTTGCTTTGCAGAAATCACCAGCAATTTTTAATTGCTTATTACACTGAATAGCTATATGTAAAAAATTACCTAAAATATAATCGCAACACAAAATAACTAGGAAAAATACATTAACAAAGTATGAGCCTTTGGAAATACATAGTTTAACACTGTTCAATACCTTGAATTTCTAATGCGGTTAATAAAAAGTCCACTTTAATCCGATTTTCGGAGTGGCAATTTGGTATCTTATAAAATTTTAGGTTGTGTAAATGAAATTAAAATTAATACCCAATTATCCAAATCATTTTGGGTGGAAGGAATTACTGTTTGGGGTAACATATTCACTTTCTGAGGCAAGTGAGAAATAGCGCATTGCGTAGAGCAAGGGTAATTTGCACTGTGGAACACATTTACTACTACGGGTAAGCAAAACTAGATGACTATGCAAAAATAACTCCTAAGTATGCAGATCCTCATTATTATTGATAAGAATACAAATAGAAACAACAAAAAATGGATACTTGATACTTTAAATAGGCAAAATGGTGTCATCAATTGTTAGACACCAAATTTAAATCTAAATTTGTAGCATTTAAAATAAGCCAGGATTAAAGATTAGAAACCAAACTGTATAATTTAAAAATACGGTCAAGGTATTTAGTGCTTTTCCCTTTTCCCTCTTTAACTTCATCCAATAAGAAAACAATTATTAAATTAACAGAATAAGAAAGTACCTTTTATTTAAAGGCATTTGGTAAATACCTTCTATACATCAGTACAGTCAGATACAGATGCACAGGACTGAAAAAGACCTTGACAGACCGCCCTGTCAATACAGGTAGTTGCCTATTCTTTTCTTAAAAATTTTCAGAGAATGGTGTTTCATAACCTTCTGAATTGTTATCTTTTTGATAGAAGGACTAAATAATTTCTGTAGCTTATGTACAACAGCTACAACGCTGTGGTTGTAAAACAAAGGTTAAATACTATGATTAACAGCAATAAAAAAATTAAAGATGTGGTTATAGATACAACTAAAAATAGAATACATGTTGAATTAACATAGATAATTACTAGAACCTTATTAATTTTAAAATGAAACTCAGATAAGAAAAATACATAATAGGAAATTAATTTTTATGAAGTACATGTACTGAAAGATAAAAAATGAATTGTAGAATATAGGGATTATAGAAACAAAGCCTAGAATAACAGTTAACAATATAAGTTGATCAAAATGATGGAATAATGGTAAACAATTTTTGGAAAAATACAGAGCATTCAATTATAGGTCATTTCAACTTATCTCAGTCATGATTCACAAATGCGCTTCAACTAGCATATACCTAAACATTTAGCCTAGACAGTATTTAAATAATGGACATGTGCAGTCACATAACATATAATGAATTTCATGTATATAATACATTTTGAAAATATAAAATATGAATTTGATGGTTTATTTAAAAAAAACTCACAAATAGAAAGAACTCTAATTTCATCAGAACATATAACCTGGCCAAAATTCCAGAGTTATTACAGAAGTAATAATTCTATTAGCATTTTTAAATGACAGACAAGCAAAAGAGGACAAAATTTCTCAACCACTTATGAGAACCAATAAAACTGTTTTTAAGATAATCAAGTACACATTTAAGTTTCCTTGATATAAATTATTATAATTATTGTATTTTAATCAAACAACCTTCATGGTCACACTAAATGCAGTTCCAAGCATCATAATTTTCAAAGTGGTATTTCAAATTTTTTAAATCACACCCGATGCACACAAACATTATCATTAACATAACTTGGTATTTTAATGATAGGTTTCATCAGAAATCTGTGATGTTATTTTGTTGAAGATCAGTGTCTTATACAAATAAATTCCCATTAAGGAAAAAATAAAATTAAGAAAAAGCAAATGAAGATCTTCTTTTGTACTTTCAAGGGAACTGTAAAGATTAAGAAATTAGCTGGCAAATTTCGGGGGACTCCTCAGACACTCAATGCACTAAATTCTGCCTGGTGCTATGTAGTTTATTAAAATGACAGCCTGGCATCAAGTATAACCAATGCCAAGAGAGAGACCATGGCAACAAAAACAGACTGGGGATAAATCATACAAACTACTTTAGTGGGTGGGGGCTATAATAGCCATCTTTTCCCGGGCCTCCTTCAACAGGTGAGAACATTGCAGGATACAGGGAAGAGACCTTTGTTAAGAAGAATAAAGGGATGACTAAAATACAAAAGCTTTCTCTCTCAATTTTTGTCTCTCTTCAGATTCTAAATGTCATTTGAGGTGACTACTGATGGTGTCTCCAGCTTGGGAACTCCAATTTTCTTTTTCCTTTGTACTTTGAATGCATTTCCTTTATTGGATGCAATATTAGACATTATTATTATTATGGTTATGGAGGAATGAATTAGTTTAAGCCCAGGCTGTGCCTCTTCATTCCCTACAGAGTCCCAGATGGCAGATGGGCAAGAATTGGGTGTTTAAAGTTATAGGCAGGGATAATATTTAGAATATTTAAAAACCACACAGTACGGGTACCAACTAATCAGAATAGATGCTCAACCAACCATAAACAACTGGTATTTGGGTAGTACTTGCTGAGTGTCAACCTCGACAATAAGAAGTCAAGATTGGTTTGGGAAGAGGAAAACAGTTGGTTCATTATAAAATTATCTATACACTTTTTCTCTGATTTGCATTAAACCTCCCCAAAGGCAAAAAAAAAATTCTGAAATGACTGCTTTGTTAATTTTTATGGATGAATCCAATTTAGATTAAATAAGGAATGGAAATTTGTTTACTGTACAGGAAATTCTTATGTCAAGAAGAACATTCCCAAAGCTTGCTGCTGATATCATCACCTAACAGCAAAAGTCTTTTCCAAGAACTTCTGAGTCCCTTCCGTTTTCCCTTTAGAGAACCCCTTTCCTCTGCCTTTTGCCTCTCTCCCACATATGCATCTCCTTTGTTTTCCACCATCTCCACCTCTTCACTACCCCGTTACCTGAACAAAATTTCTCTACATTTCACTGTAAGCTCCTCACCCCAATCAATGATAATAAATGTAGAGATGGAACCAATGATATGCTTGTATCAAGGAGAAAAAGAAACACAACTTTTAAAAAATGAGTTTAAAGAAAGAGTATCACCAAGGCTAAGGCGCATTTTCATTCTCTGATTAAATATGCTTTTATATAAAAGAAAACGGTTTCTCGCTCACCTTCATTCTGGTTTGTTTATTTCGTATAATTGTATATTTAATTTGTAACATCTCCAGTTCAATTGCAAATGTCCTATTTCAGCAGCCTTATATTAAATCAGGTTTGGGGGGCTAGCCTGTAATCCTCCATAACAGTAATTCTGTGGGGCAAATGCTAGATGCTTCAAATTCTAAACAGCAAACAAATGATTTAAAAAAATTTAACTACAGCCTGTTTGTAAATCACAGAATGGCTGGATGGTATTTAGCATGCTGTAGTTATGCAATGTCATAAGGACAAAACTAATATAATTTTTATTGGTATATAACGAAACAAAGGTAATTTCCCATTATCTCCATGATAAATGAAAGTAAATGTTTTTAGTTCTACAGAAAATTATACCTGCTCTGCTTTCTGTCTTTCACTGTCATCTTTTTATAGTCATTTCAATAATTCTCTTTTCCACAACTACCAAGAAAATAACATGGCAAGAACAAAAGTGCCAGGTCCTATAAACTATAATACTAATTACCATCCTAAGAGAGCACTATTACCGAAAAGGATGGCAAAGTTAGGAGGGGAGTGGCTCTTGTTCTACTGAGCCTGATATTCTGTTAGAAAAAGACTGATGTTATATACAGAGAAGACAAGTAGTGACTTTATAGCATCTTACTACGCTGATGGACAGTGATGGTAATGGGGTATGTGGGGGTGACTTGTTACAGGGGAAGTCTAGTAACCATAATGTTATTCAAGTAATTGTACATTAACGATACCAAAAGAAAAAAAGAATAAAACTGATGTTTCTATACCACCAAAGGCAAGTATGGCTTTATTATTGTATTTAAAATTATCATTCAAAACTAATGTAGAAATGCTTTGTGGGCCATTTGTTGTGTTGTGTTATATGTACCACTGCCCTTTTCATCCACACAGATGATTAAGAATGGGATAGAACAAAATTGCCTTTGAAACTAATTTTTCATTCTAAAAACTCAAACACAAGTAGTGTTTTTGGTTATGTAAACTATAATCACACAATATCATGAAAAATATAAATCTAGTTCCTCCAAATGATTGGTTTAGGCACACAATTTTTAAAATATGAGATTGGTTTTTCTTTAATCATCTATAATAACTTTGCTTGTGGGAGAACTGAAAACAAATCTACCTTTGAAAAATACACCATCTTGACACTTTGAGTTTTCCTAAGTGGGAAAGGCACCCAGCGCTAGTGCTTTTCCTGACTGACTTGATTGCTCAGAAGGAAAGGGGAAATAAATAGGGTAAGGCTGAATGTTTCACTCAGAAATGGAGTGCATGAAAGAAGGACAAAGGAAAACTTGTATTTTACACAATCCTTGAACTAATAACCTGCCAGCTTTCCTCAAAAAGTATCATGGATTCTGAGAGTGAAGGTTTCCGCAGTAAAATCACACAGATGTATCCTCAGCAAACAAGATGAAAGAGAAGTAAATAGAATTGTGCTAAGAAAAGAGGTTTCCTCGAAGCTCATAGGCAAGAAAGTTCTGAAACCAAGAAAGGCAGGAGTAAACTATACCATGAGTAAGCTTTGTCAGGGACAAGCCTCTTCTCCATTAGAAATGGTTTTAGGATGTCTGCAGAGGATACTAGGAATGAAGAATATAATCTTTAAGACAGTATTAAGTGTTTATAAAAACAAAGACATTCTCAAAGCCCTAAAACATACACTTATAATAAATGTTTCAAATATGTTAAAGAACTAGTAACATTCTAATTACAGGAAATTTGTTAATATTGCAAAATTATGGTAGTATCATCTCTAAATAAACTTGCTTTAAATAGAGTTCTCTAGAACAAAATTATTTTCTAATATTGTTATTTTGATAATTGTATACTTTACTAACTTTTCATAAACTGTGCTTTATCCATATTGGTCCTTTTCTTTCAGGTAAACAAACTGACAGCAGCCAAATATCTAAAGCTCTATGTACTAAATTTTGGTATTAGAGGATAGGTCAACAATGTCTATTATTAATGATTAGTTCCAAAGAAATCACAATACTGTACCTGGTTTGGCTCAGAATGACCATGTGATGCTAATATCAATGTAAAGCTAAGATCAGTGTTAAGAGTCTATAAATGTAAGCATTTATTACTAAATTAATTATTAGACTTGATACATTAAAAATACATTCAGTACAATTGATTTCTTCCTTGAGATGAAGTTGTTATATGATGTCAATGGCATACAAATGGAGGAAAGATGCTTATAGCTTCTGAGGGGAAGAGCCTTGTATAATTAAATTAAAATGAAATTTAGCCCTCAGATGCAGTAATGGTGACAAGCAGCAACATGGGAAATAAACATCACTTGGGCTATTTGTGCCATAGAGAAGAGGACAATACGAGTCAGCACTATAACCATGCTGCCATAAAACCTTTAAAAACAGCAGTTAGTTTAACAGTTCATAAGGAATTATAAGACAGTAGTCTGAGTACTTTAAAATGGAAATAAGCAAAACACACTTTCAATAGTCCAGTTAAATAAGCTGTTGGCTGACTTTATAAGATAAAGAGTAGCTTATTAAAAAATCATTAAGGATATGTTCTCTTGAAATGCAGGGTTTTTAAGACAGGGCTCCAATTTTAGTAAATGTAATTTTTAAAGGACTAAGCAATTATTTACCAATATGAAAATTGGTATGAGTTCATAATAAATATAATAAATGAGAAAATATATCAAAATTTACTATTGCCATAATTTTTAATCACAAAAGCAAACTATGTAAGCTCTAGAAATCTTCTTGGTAATATTTTTTTGCAAGCAAGACATTTTGCTTCCCCAAAGTAAAATTTAAGGCTCTCAGCTAAAATAAGGCACTGTCTTCAGGAACTGGCTGATTGCTAAGTAGTTCACTGATTGGTAGTTGTGACCCCTCTTATCTACTAAAAAACACTAAAAACAATTCAGTGCGTGATGTGTTTCCATGGAATCACAATTTATATCTTTTTAGGTTTTACACATAGGCATTAGTTCTTCTCAAGACCCAGGTCCTACATTTAAAGGAAGAAAAAAACATTACTGCACCTATTTCAAAAGATTTCTACAAGCTCAAGTTGTATATCTACAGAATTCCATTTAAGAAGGCTGCTTGTATAAAATCATTAAGGTGAATAAAACCAGAAAATATATAACATTAACAGGTTAAGGTCCATATCATTATCAATCACTATGATTGTCTGATGTCATTGGATTAGACAGAAGGCTTTTATTAATTGTATTAAATGATTCTGTTTTGTATTAACATGCCTGTACTACTTTCCTCTAAACTTGCTTCTAGATCACACACCACAAGACGCCGCTCTCTAATGGCCAAAGTTTCACGTATCAACACAACAGTTTCGAGTCTACTCCAAACAAGCTACATCAGAGTATATGCAGGAAGAGATTTGAAGATTTGGAAATGTCTTACCCCAGATATGAGAAATACTTTGCAGAAGTCCAAAACAGGCAGGATCTGTAGAAAACTGGCAGCTTCCAGTGTGTCTTGAAGGTTGTCCATATTAAGAGAAAGCTTTGCAGTATAAATAAAATCAATAATTTTCCTTAAACCGACTTTGCTCACACCATGAAGCTTAATGCACATTAAGTCTTGTTCTTTCATTCCACCTTAAATAAAAAGACATCAATTAAATGAAGGTGGATAATTTAATTAAGGTCAAACTTCTGCTGCTAATTAGATGCAATAAAACCAAGGAAAAGTTTTATTTTGTGTAAGTGTTTGTGTCAGAGTCAGGCTTCTGCATATTTTACAGTTAAAGGAGTACACTTAAAAAAGAATATGTCTTTGGAGTTCATATATGATGCAGTGCTTCCCAAATGTTCTCCTGTCACTTCATATCTTTTGATGGATTAAAGATTGATTGTGCTAGCGGGACCCAGACTCTCTGATGGCCCATTCATCTATGTGTCTGAAAAAGAGCTGTGAAATAAAGGTGGACAGAACTATGAAAAAGGTACATCCATTTCCCAAACTAAAGAAGCGCCACCTACAACCACATGTATTGGGTATATATTCCTCTTGAAACCATTTCTTCTGGTAACAACAAATACCAAAAGAACGAAATATCACTTTAGAAATGAAAAGATTTAAACACATAAATTTCATACTGTTTTAGAGTAGATGCAGAGTTTAAGGGGCAACCTACCTGTGAACATAGCCTTGAAGTAATCGCTAGCAGAGGCCATCATGACTCTATGCACAGGGAAGGCATCATCTGTGTCACCTGGCATTAGGGTCACATCACAAAGCAATCCCTCAAGTCGAAGCTGGTCAAAGCCCTACCACAAGAACATGAGTTGAGCCACTTATCAAGGTAAAGTGGGTGTACAAACCTCTGCATGCTAAAGTTCCATTTACATATTAATGTGTGTCTGTGTGACCTATTTGGGACATAAAGCCAACAGAATAATCACTCAGAAGAAGAAAATAACCAAACAGCTTGTTTGATATGTGACGATGTATATTTAATTCACTGTAGTAGAAAGATAAAATTAAGACTAATTTAGATTAAGAACAAATAAGGTAAGAATATGTACATTCGCTTATTTATACAAACATTGGCTTTTAGCCTGTTTTAGAAAAAACACTTCTGTTTTCCTTTTTTCCCTCCACTTTTGTTTTCCAACATGCAGAATTAGAGCGTTGGACTAACATTCCTTTCCATAAAAATAAAATAATAGTGCTTTCATAGTGCTTTACTGAGGCACCTTGTATTTTTACTTTCTTTTTTTTTTGAGAAAGAAAAGGAACAGAAGAGTATCTGTGTTAACTGCAAGATAGGAGTTCCTTCCTACCAACTACATTTTTCCATATCTTTGAGTTAGGAATTATCTTTGATATCCTTTTACTTAGTACATTGTTACTGTTTGACCAATTATCTTTCATGTTTCAAGTTTAGAATTGAATTATCTTTGGTAAGAAGAGCCCAGGGAGCTCCAACACAAGACATAATTGTCCCCAAATGCCTAAAATTTAGTGGAGAATTAATAGGCTAACACCACAGTTCAGAGGAGGGCCAAGGCTCTGGTGATAAGAAGGCCTGTTCCTCAGCTCTTCCACCCACTCCCTTGGTGTTCCCAGCCAATGACAAATGGGCAGTTGTTTTTTGGCTCTACTCTTGGGACAATGAAACATTTTAAGATTCTAACAGGCTGGTAAAATGCATGAGAAGGAAATAATATGCAGTTTAATAATGAAGCTCAAAAATGAAGATTTTTGGCAAGACTACATCTGTAATTTCTCAAGTAGAAATGTACTGTTATAAGAAATCATGAAGATGCTCACACAAATTACTTTCTAGTAATATGAAATAAGAATATAATACAGCAAAAACCAATAGCAAGGATTATACTATCCCCTTCATATTTTAATGACCCCAAATAAAACTTTTATTTAAAGTTGTTTTTTATGGAGTTAAGAAGCAAAAGGCATGACACACTGAAGAATGCAGTTTTAGAAATATTGATCCTACACATATGTATAATATAAATCTCAGTCTAAACATCTTCTCATCATAATTTTTAAATTGCTTTTTAAAGAAAATGCTTGAATCTGCAGAACTGGAACTTCAAAGAGATAATGTGATCCAGCCACTTTCTCTCTGGAGAGAAATATAAATATTTTTATTCCAAAAATATTTATACATTATACATATACTTTAGAACAGAATTATGTATCATATTTTTCTTTCTCCAACAGTGATTGACATATGTTTTCATTCATAAATATCACATCTTTCACAAATGCCCCTTTTCCTTTATAAACACAAACATTAAATCCCACCACCCTTGATATTTTCCATTTTCCATTGCTAAATCATCTCCTGTCCCTGTTATTCAGAAATGTAGAGGTAAAAAGAGACGTCAGTTTTAGGGGAATATTCTCATGTAGAGGCAAGAAGTCGCTCTGAAAATTCTTATAGTGAATCTAAAGTGCAATGAATTTAAAGGGCTTACCTTTCAAATGTAGGTGAACTTTGGGAAGTACTGAATGTGACCACTGGGGTGGGGATGGGAGCCTTAAGCACTGAGAAGGGGGGAGCCATTAGCTAGAACAGTTGAGGGACTAGCATGTTTGAATTCTTCAGTGCTTGACACACAGTTGGCACTTAATGAATCTTCAATTAATGCATGAACAAACAAACCAGATTTTACTCAGAAGCCACCACTTGGTATTTTAAAACCGTGTAGTCACATTGGGCAGAAGTTTAATTTCTGTAATTAAATTACAAAATTTTAATTTTGTAACTAGCAACCATGAACTTTATTTGTGAGACCTCTCCCAGTGAGAAAATGAACTTGGCCTACAGTGCTTATCTGTGGTAAACTGTAAAGGCTGAGATGAGAGAAGAGAAATTGAACCAGGGTTTGGGAGAAAATGTTGGCTCCCAAGGGCTTGGCTTTTTTCCTCCCTCTGACAAATTTCAGGTTAAAAAAATTAAATAGCTACTTGTTGTAAAAATGTAGAAGGATATAAATTGGGAACTAAAGCTCCACTTCTTCTACTTACTAGGAACAACTACTGTTAGCAGTTTATTATGTCTACTTCCAGGCTATACACTAAATCTACCTTTTATTTGAATGTATACGGGATTTTTTTTAAGAGGGATAGTACACATACTGTTCTGCATTTTAAAAATTCACTGGAGCACATAACATAGATAGCTCCTATCTCAGTATATACAAAGCACCCTCATTCTTTATAGTGGATGCATAGTATTCCATAGTGTGGGCAAAACATAAATTATTCACCCAGACTTCCCTGGTTGTCTCTCAAATTTGCCATTACAAACAATGCTGCAGTGAACCTCCTTGTACATATACTTATTCATGAGACTGGATCTGTGGGACATACTCTCACAAGTGGAATTGTTCATTTGAAGAATATGTACTTTTTTATTTTTTAAATTAATTTTTTTATTGATATACAATCTTACATTAGTTTCAAGTATATAACACAGTGGTTCAACAGTTACCCATATTATTAAGTCCTCCCCTCCCACTAGTACAGCTACTATCTGTCAACATAGAAAGATGCTACAGAATCACTGGCTGTATTCTCCATGCTGTACTACCATCCCCATGATCAACCTACATTACAATTGAGCATTTCTGTACCCCTGTACCCGCCTCTCCCTCTCCGACCACCCATTCCAACCCCTTCCCTGTGGTAACCACCAGTCCCTTCTCAGTGTACTTTTAAAGTTTTAATAGCAATTAGCTAGTTAAAACATGGTTTATCTTGAGAAATTTAATATACCTTGGGTACTGGCAAAAAAAGAGATGTCAAGACACCAATGAGACGAGATTAGGTACTGTATGCTGCTTTTATTTTTATTCTTCAAAATATTTTTAGATCTTCTTCTCTAAGATACATGTAGATTTCTGCAAGGCAATCAGGGCTTATTCAGTCGAAAGCAATGATTGTATCCGATCAGTTATTTTCTTTCACTAAAAAAGTTCCAAAACCTTCATGGCTCATTTGTTAGCTTGCCTTGTTTTTAAAATATTTCTACAATTATTTTCTCCTCGGAATTGAGTAATGTCAGGAGGATCCATTCCTACTACTTATTATTCTTTCTTTTTCCCTTTGAAAAAAATATATGGCTAATGCTTCCTGTATCATTATCTGTGTCATTTCTCATCTGGTCCATATCCCATCAAAACTGCTTGCTGAGGTATGTACTTAATCCTCAAAATCTGGACAGTTCACCTAAGATACCAGGAGCTTTTATACCCACTCCACAAACTTCATTATTTTGCTTCCCTTTGCACTACTATCCTTATGAAAATCCTCTAACCTTTCTCAGTATAATCTGGAGTCCCCAAAGAAAGGACGCTGAGATTCCTAGACCACTTTTTATCATATTCCGAGTATCTTATATTCTATGCTTGATTTATCTACCCTTGGCGAAGTGTCTGCTTTTGTGAGGTTTTGCATTCATTTTCACGTCATGTAGTTTCCCTTTCTATACATTTCACCACCCTTATTTGCAAATGCATAAATGGATAATTCCATTATCCAATTCCACATTTGCCAATTTTATTTCTGATTATTGCTCTTTATCCAAATAAGATCTGTCAATTCTGATTGTTTTCATAGATTCTAAATATCTTGTTTGCATGTCGTTATCTGTCTATCCCGGCTCTGTCTAAAGAGAAAAGAAGCTAAAGTTCCTTCTATAACATACTTTGCTTTATAGCAGAAGACAACCATTTCTCTAAACAGCTTTATAGTTTAATCTCATTAAGAACGCACATATTAAAAGAAAAGGGGGTAGACCACTCTCCACAATTCCCATCTGCCCTCTACATACCTACTTTTTGCTTTCCCTCTTGTAAATCTTCTCCCCTATTTAACGCTAGGAAAAATCTCAAAGATACCCTGCACACTTAAAATGTGTCCTTTTATTATAAAACCATTTTCTTCCACCAGGTTTATATTGACTCATTCTTCTTGTTAGAATTTCATAAGCTTTGTTGTCTATTGCTGTATACTAGTCCACTATACACTAATACAGCTCTGCTTTATGCAAAATTGCTCAAAGTTTCCAATTAGTCTTTTAGAGCATCTTTAAAAGGGTTTCTATTTCTTTTAACTCAACCTCTTTCTACCCCAATCCTTATCTTAGTTTTCTAGTTTTCTATTCCTTCTGGGCTTTGGGTTCCATTTATGAGGGAATTGCTGACTGTTCTCAATTTCTTTACCCAATGTTTCCCTTTTCCCCTTCTATAAATCTCCTATATCTTCTCTTTTTCTTCTTCTTCACATATTTTTGGGGTAAAAACCCCACAAAATTTAAAAGAAGGTTTTTCTCTTTCTGTACTAAACTTACCCAATGTATCAAACCTTCAAATACAATTAAGCAGAAAGAGGCACATATGTAATACTCTGAAGGACCAAAACATTTTAAATGAGCTTGATAAATTTTAAAACAGTCCTATTAAAATGGACGAGGATATGTGCTGACATTACACAAGTATAATATAGAAACCAGATGAGCTACAAATAATTTATAACAAAAGTTGATTGGCTATCAAAAGCTTTCAAATTAAATATAATGTTATGAAAAACGCTAGATCAGTACTCTCAGGTATTAAAAAGACTTCTGGTAAGCAAATCTTTCCACTAACCTCTACACTGGAAATAAGTTACTAGCATATTCAATCGAGTTTTGATTACTATAATTTTGAAGAGGAAGTAGAGTAAAAAGGAAATGCATCCTGAGATCAATAGAAATTATTAATAGAAAATGTTTTATGAACAGAGATGAAGGAAC